TTTTGTTGACATTTTCATTCATTTTTCATATCCAAAAAAAAATTATTAATCAATCATTTTTTTTATCAAACGAATTCTCATGAAAATATTTTTATGATTGAACATTTATAAAGAAAAATTCAATAAATAATTGAGTAAGGTTGATGGAAATGAAGCTTTATAAAGTACGTTACGCTGGTGTCATGTTGATATTTCTTGTTTTTAGAGTTTCAGGAATTTGAACAAAATAATGGAAAAAACATTGATCCTGTTGTGATGGATTTGGAAAATTTTGGATGGCTTGGATGGTGAAAATAATGCGTGTGAGATTTTTGCGACATTATGCTGGTTTTACAGAAATTTAATTGAAATTTATTTGTTATCAACTTCGTGGTGTTTTTGACCAGTGCTAATGAGTGTATGTATGTGAGTTGCCACCATTAGGAAATATGTATCTAAGGATCAAGAGGGGTGGGGGTGTTGATTTTGGGTAAGCTCTGATCCAGTTTTAAGACTCTATTGTGAGAATGAAATTTAATGTTCTTTATTTAAAGGCATAAATAAATTTGATCGGTGACTTTGCTTTAGAGCCTCAAGTAGCCCCGGAAACGTGCTTCTGATTTCGAAAATTTTGATTTTTGCAACAATTTTGAGTAAGATACTCCAAGTAGTTTTGTGAATTGATCCATGGATATCCAAAAGAGTTAAAAATAAATTTAAAGGACAAAAACCTCTAATGAGTTCCTTGATTTTTTCAATTCTTTTGTACATAAAACCCTTCCTACGCCAGTAACAAGTTTGCACATTGTCAACATTATAACAAAACAATCTCAAATGCGTTAACACGAATAGCACAAACCGGTTGATCGAATAGAAATCTGGCTCCAAGATGGCGAAACTCTGGCATAATGCTGGATTCGATTAAAGTCTAGCACCATGCCAGAATCACACCAAATTTTATTCCATTAAACAACTTGTTCTATTCGGGTGAAGTTAAAAAAAATTCATGGTTTTAAAAAACAAGAAAAAAGCAAATTGACAAAGTGTGTCAACATTATCCTATAAATTCCCTTTTACATCCCATTTTTTATTATTTATCCCCTTCAATTCACTCATGCACGTGCGTTCCACATTTATTTACATTCCTATGTATGTACATAAACATATCATTCGAACTACTTCTTTCGCTCATATATTCCAATATTTTATGTATATTCTATAAACAGATCCCTAAAGCCCTATCTACTTTATAAAGTTGTACACATCTACAATGTATTGTATATGCCGATGATGAAGGATGATTGTTTGAATTTATGTACACGAAAAAAACATAAAAAAAATTGAATAAATATTTTACACATCTACATACATAGACACAAAATTTTTGTGCCTTATTTGAACATATAACATTTCATGTGCTTTTATGTACATAAAAATTTCCTTATGTTCACTTGCTTGCTTGTTTTTCTATTATTGAACTATCTCAGCTTCCTCTAAAAAGGCATACAAAGAGCTTTTTCATGATTGATCATTTGTTTATTTACGATACTCGTTGTTATTTACTGAGGGGGATATCAACATCATGGGAAAATGTTTAAATGGGAAATTCTCAACCATTTCTAATTAAAGTTTTGACGAAAAATGATTGAAAATTTGTTATTAAATTCCCCATCACGTTGTTTCCCCCCTCTGTTATTTACGTTGTTTCTCAGCTTTATTTTTTATTTATATTTATTTTTTTATGTATATGCACGGCATACGCGAATTATCTACACAAATGACGTCATAAAATGGAATGTGAATGAGAGCTAAAAATAATGTAGAATGAAGGGAGTAAGTGAACTTAATGAATTTCTCAGCTTTTATGACGTTCATTTTGTAGACTGATGTAATGATTGTGTGTGCTTTATGACTTATTACAAAAATTCTTATATTTTTTGGAATTGATGTTCTGCTTCTGTTCTTTGTAGCGATGCTCTCGATGTTGTAGGGGTGCATTTGAAGAGGTGATAAATATTAAATAAGATTTTAAGAGTTTAAAGATATTTTCAGGGTTGCGATACAGGCATCTGTGCACAGATGAGAACCGTACAATTCCTTGATAATTTGTGAGTTTTTATTGGAATTTGTATGGTCTTGCTAGAAAAACCTTATAAATTATCAACGAATTGTACAGTTTTCACCCAGGTACATGTGTCTTTATTGCAACCCTGGATATTTCTAGAAAATCTTAAGAAAAATCAAGGGATCCTACATGAATGGGGATGGGAACAACCGGTTACAGGAAAGTATTTTAATTGTTACATCGCGTGAATGGATATTTAAATCCGATCCTAAAGAATCCTTATGATTAGATATTACTAGTTGTACTATATTGCTCTATTAATGATTAAGCAATGCTAAAATGTTAAAGCCCTACCTTTGAAAGATCCAAGATTTAATGAATGATATCAAGCACATTGTACTTTTAAGTATGAACTTCTTTGTCATAAGCACAAAAATTAAAAAATGTAAGAAAATGAATCAAGATCTCTTCTTTGAGGAGTCGAAATCCCTAGCCACTGTGCTAAGGCATTAGCCTTGGTTCCTCCCTTTTTTTTTGTTCAAAAACACCTCTGCTTTTAAAAAACAGCAACTAATCCACTAACTCTATCAGAAAAATGAATAAAATTCTCTCATTTTTATCTCGTTTAATATTCATGAAAACTTTTTTCATTTGCGAGTTTATCATCACGAGCAGCAACTAGCAACAAGCATGTGAAAAAATATTTTTTTCATTTTTTGTCTGGACGGTGTTAATGAGAACGCCCTTACAGTTACGGACTGTATGTTATGAACTCTCGAGACCTCTTATTTTATCCCCCCAAAAAAATACATTAATATAACAGCTTTTCATCGTCCATCTGCTCATGAATGTGCAATCATATTACTTTGAAAATGATGAAAGCTTACATCGACGGTGTGCTTTGAGACTGATTTATATGTAATATCGTATTTTATGGATTCAACTATCTCTGCGGTACTTGATTCATGTTCTCTTTACGAATAAATATGTCCAGAAATAGAAATAGACGGCATATGGTGTGCATGAGGGTGATGTGCGATAATGTTGGACATTTTCATGTATCTTTTTCTTTTTTTGGTGATAACATACACGACTGTGATGATAATGGTGCCAATAATGTTAAAGATTATGACCTTTTTTATGACACGACCTTGATTATGATGAGCTACAATGTTTCATGACAAGACAGTACACAACAGACACAAGTCCAGAGTAAAAATGAAGAATAATAAAATAGATAAATCTTTACATTTCCATTACTTTTTTTTTATTCATCATTCGAGAGCATCCTTACATTGAATCATGATTTATTGAGTGCTGAGAGGATTTATGGTGAACTTTAAGCTGCCAATTCCTTTGCAGTATTCTGTCATTTATGTGGAATTAAAATTAATGTACAAATGTGATTGATTTAGATTTATTTCGATTGATATTCTAAAGGATATTGAGATTGAGGTCTGGTGTGTCTAGACTTAATAAGACGAAAGAATGTTGTTTGAGCATAAATTTTATGGTAATATATGTAGGATTATCAGTTGGAAAGTTTATTGAGGTTAATTTGCATTTATTTCAGCACTGGTGATGAGAAAGGAGGTTAAAGAGTTTTTAAAAGGTTTATAAGAATCTTTAGGGGGATGTTTGGGTACTGAAGGGTGTATCCTAAGTTGGAGTACTAAAAGATACGTAATTAGACCGAATCCATCTCTAAAGAGGTTCTTATGTTCTTAAATAAGCATCAATTAACATTCATACTACTATAAACAAAATAACAATAAGGGGCCATTCACTTATGACGTCTGACATTTAGGGGGGGAGGGGGTTCTAGGATTTTGTGACAGTTCAAACAATGAAAATTTCTTCCTATAGAATTTTTGTGACAGAGGGGGGGGGGGGTCTAAAAATCAGGTTTTTTGATGGACGTCATAAGTAAACGACCCCTAACCTAAACATCGTCTAAAGCATTATAGGGATAAGAAGAGGGATGATGGATCTTTGAATATACTTCAGGCTTCTAAAGGAGGACAGGTGCTCAGATAAGCTTAAGAACTATCAGAGATCAATGAATTTCTTAAAAAATTGAGTTGACAACCCTCATCTTAAGAATTTAAAATTTTTGGATAAACTTTAAGTATATCGTGACTCAAAAACAATCATAAATTCAGAAAACAGAACATGATATACTATTATTAAATCACTCAAGCACACGCAGGAACCCCAACCCAATTCCTAATCAGAATATCAAACATAAAGTCGACATTTTTAATGAATTTTTTAACAAAAAAACTTGAAATTCATGATTTTTTATGATCGTAAAAATATCTCTTCCTTTTGTCAATGTAACAACAATATGAGTTTTTCTTTCAATTCAATTATTTTTATTTCGTATTAATTTATACACTATAAACAATACCTAAAAGTTCATTATTTTCATTTATCAATTTCGATTTTTTAACTTCTTCCTTGTTATTTATTTTCAATTAATCTTATTTTTGTTTTCATTGATGATTGATTGATTGTACCTGCTTACATCATTCTAGTTAATTTTGTTTATAAATCAATAATTCGTTTAACATTTTTTTTCGTCTAATAAATTTGAACTAAAATTTTTGCTTTTTGAGAAATGCGAGAGTTTTGTTGTCGAGAGACACAATGTTCGAATTTAGAGTCTTGCGATTTGTTTGAAGTGTTGTCTATCCTTTAATTAGATCTGTAGTTTGCCTAACCTCAAATCAAGAATATCAGGTCATAAATTCAGTTTGTTTTTAAAAACCTTTAAGTTAAAAAAACTTATTTAAAGTTCAGCTTTCAAAACTAAATCAATTCCTGAATTAACGAACTTTTGGAATTCAAATTATCTACATTAAGTTCAACAAATGTAGTTTCACACCCCCTTTATTTAAAATTTGTGTAAAACAAATTGAAATACTTTTAAAATTATATATTTAATTTATTATTGCAAGTTTCGTAATCGAGTCCCTTACTATTAGCTATTAAGCATTAGGATTTCCAAGATTTGTTTAATTAATCTGAATAAAAATTCTCCAATTCACCACATTTTAATGTCTCTCGAAAACAAAAATTTCTTAAAACATTTATTTAAATTTTAAAGTTCCTGATCTGAAAACCGAAACCCACAAAAAGCATCCTATACATTTAGAAACAGATTTCCTTCTAGTCCTCCTTAAACAACCTAAAATTCCTCAATAAACAATATTTCAGATAAGAATCAATCATAAAATTTTCTTCATAGTCTTTTCAACATTTATTTTTGAACATTTTTTTTCTCCTAAAGTTTTTTCTTATTCATTATTGAAACAAACAAAAGAATTTTCTAACTAAAGAAATGTTTATTTTTTATTATTTAACTTTTTTATGTTAATTTCATGTTTTTTTCTCTTTTATATCACCGTGTGTGAAAAAATTGACTTAGAATACTTCGCGATCTGCAAATAAAAAAGAGAAAAAAAGAAAAGAAAAAAAAATTTCATTAGAAATTTTCGCCAAAAATTTTTTTTCAATTTTTTGTTTTGTTTTCTTATGGAAAAATTTTTTTTAAATTAATCATTCAAAAAGTTATAGCTTAAAAGTTCTCATTCTACTGAGTTTTTTTTTACTAGATCAAAACTAAAACTTTATGTTTGTGATTTAAAAATGGTTTTTAATTTTTTTCATTCTTTTACTAAATTTGTTTAATTTAAAAATAAGTATGAAATTGTTTCTAAGGTTGAAATTGAATTATTTTGATGAGATGATTTAAAAATTATTTTTAAAACTTATGGAAGAATTTTAAATTTTTATTTTCTTAAATTTAGAATTTTTCTTTTAAAAAAGTCGAATTTTTGTTTGAAATGTATTTTTTCTAATTTTGAAAAATTCGGTTGTCAAATTTTAATTTTTTGTATGTTTTCAAAATTAAAAGTTTCAAGCCTTTTAGATTTGAGTTTTTTAATATTTATTAAACTTTAAATTCTTTAAAATTGATATTTTAAAACAATTCAATATTTTCAAACTTTGAATTTTTAAAAATTTAATTTTTTTAAATTTAAAAAGTTTTGTTCAAATTTGAATTTTTTTTTCTTCTTCAAATTTTACTTTTGTCAACATTTAAACTTTTGCGATATTTAATAAAAACAAAATTTAAAAATATAAAATTTAACTTTTGAAATTTTAAAAAAAAACTAGATTTTTTTAAAGTATTCACCAGAATATCAATAATTTTTAAACTTTCACATCAAAATTTCAATTTCATAACCCTAAAAAAATTTCAATAAAATATTATAAAAGAATCCTAAAAAGTTAAGCATTAAAAAATAGGAAAAAAATATTCAAATTTCATCAAGCTCATTTTCAAGCAAAAAAGTAATTTTACTAAAAGTAAAAAGCTACTTAAGTTTGTCAACTTTTCAACTATCAACTACGTTCAACTGCTTCCAATTCTTTTTACTGCATCTAACTTTTTCATTTCATTTCACATAAAAAATAAGGATGGATTTTAATTATATTCAAATTAGATTCATTTTCTGCTCTACTTTATCACTATATAAAAGCATCTACAAAGTTTTTGTGATGGAATTTTTCAGTTCCTTTTTTTTTGTTTCTACATAATTTTTATTTTTTTTTTCGAGAATAAAGAATAAAGAAGAAAAACCATAGACATTAAGTATAATGAGAGAATTTTCATGTCTGAATGATTTTAAATTGCAAAATTTAGAGTCTAGACCATGACTGACAAGTGGCTGAGAATTTGCATTTAATTCTGTAATTTTGTGATAGTGTGAAGTGGTGCCCACTTGACTATCATGGTTAAAATACAATTTAATGTTAGGAATTGGATTAAAAACTCAATTTGATTGCTTTTGTTTGTGTTTGTAAGAAGATTGCTCTAGATTGGTTGATACTTATTAAATATTCATTATCATTTTCGTTGATTTGTACAGTTTGATATTAGCTAGTTTAGATCAATTCAACTTCCTTGTATGATTTTTTGAAGCATATTTAAAGATTATATCACAAAATTACTCCCATAACCCTTATTTATGTCAATTTATCCCAAAAAAATCTTTTTATTCTATCTTTTGCATGCACAATAAATATCCCTAATTATCCAAACGGCCATGATTCTTAATTGCACCCAATATTTCTTAATTTAAAAAGGACAACCTATTAATTTAACGTTTATGTTCAACATGTTTTTCTCCTTTTTTAAGCATTTAAAAGAAAAATATTTGTTCTTGAAAATAATTTAATTTCACGATAACAAGCTGCACAGGCTACAAAGTATTTCTTTTGATCATCATAAAGTCCTACACATGGATATTCTCTGTGTAAATAAATTATTATCATGATTATGATGATGACGAGGTCGGAAATTTTCTCTCCTTTTAGGAACCAATTTTATGCGACAGAAGGATGAAAAAATAAAGAAAGTTAAGAATCAAAGGTAAAAAGGTAAAGGGATGAAAAGTTATAAACAGATATTCGTACATTATTATCTTCAATGTTGTCTTGTATTCTCAACGAATAAGTTTATTAAAGAAGTGGGGATGAAGATAAGCTAAAGTTCTTATGTTGCTCGCAGGGGGTGACAACTTGGAATGTGGGGTTGCTTAGTGAAATTTATTAAGTGGGAAATTTGAGATTTAGTTTGGATTGGTTGTTGGCGTATCAACTGCTGGTTCTGAAGCGTACACAGTCCCTGGTAGGAATAATTAAATTTGGAACGAATTTTTAGAAAAATTGAACTTTTGTTGCATCTAAAACTTAACATATTCGATATTTAAAGGGCCCCTGGTGCTTACTAGCTTCCTTAATGATCACTATATGAGTATCTTAGCATATTTTTCATTTATTTTAGGGAAAATTATTGAAAAACCTAATCAGTTCGATTCCTATTCAGAGATGATTTAATTGTGATAAACTAAAAATCAAGTCCTAAAGTCAAACTTAATGATAATAAAACCCTAATGGTCTATATGATTATCGCTACATTTTTCAAAGCTATCAGATAGACTAACATAAATTGACTTTAAACCTGAATTAAGCTTAGGATACGCCAGGTTTAATGATTTTTGGATACAATATGTGCAATCGACTAGGTTAATGACAAACGAGCTCAAAGTCTCCTATTTAAAGTTGACTCCAGCCAACTCACAGTACCCAATCTCAAAAATCAACTTTCCATCCCTTTCAGCATCAATTTTTTGAAAAAACTGCAAATACCCTTCACGTATTTCCTTTTAATTCACCTGAATAACGTGTATTCATCCTTTTGTGATTCTTTTCATACGATAAATGATCACATTGGGATTACTCGAAAACTGCTACAAATATCTACATACTTTTATCTCTTTCTCAGTACCTTTTCACTTTATATTCATATCCAACTTTTATTTTTAAGGCTTAATTCTATTACAAAAAAGTTTGTGAAGCAAATGATTTGTCATTTTTTTGTGACTGTCTCTCTTATCATTGTCATGACATGCATGCTGAAAATTCTTCAACAGCACTATGAATTGAATGAGCTATAAATTTAATCTCACTTTTATTCTAAATAATTAAATGTGCTCTCATTAGTGAAGTTAATTGTATTTTATTGCACTGTAAATGAAAACTATTTTTGTGAAATAAATTTCTACAGAATTAATGTTCTTTATGGCCCAGAGGGGTGCATGAGAGAGAAAATTATTTTAATCTGGAACATTTGAAAGTTTAAGTGCTGAATAAAGGAATTAATGGTGCAGGAATTCAGATTGTTTGATAGTTATAGGTAGGATGGGGTATGATGAAAATTCCTATTGCTTTGATGATGAGTTTTTAGATGATTTGGAGTGTTTATTGTGTAATTGGCGATTTTATAGACATTTATAACATTTGAGTGATCAAGGTGGGGATATTGAGCTAGAATTTGATTAGTTTTACACCTCAAGCCTTTGACCAATAAATACCCCGAAAGGCACACGACGTAAAAATGGATCTAAATCTACAGATTTCATCAAATCTGTCATCGTAGACGCCAAATTCACAGCCATTTTTTAATCAGTGTGCCTTTCGGGTACCAGTGAGTTGGTTTAATTAAAACTCATATCTCTTTTTAAAATTTAATCTTATGATTTATGCTGCATCAGAAATTCTAAAAAATACATCAAATACAGCTTACAGGCTCACACCTCTGGCAAATACTACAAAAACTGCAAATTCTATCTGCACTAATAAATTTCTTTTGCTCCATTTTAATTGTTTCAAACACAAAGTGCAGCTCTTCTTTACACAAAAATACATTACAGCATTTAGTAACATTCCACATGTGATTACAAATTTACTTTTACAAGTGCTCCAAAAAAGCTATCGCCCTCTTTAAATTATCCATAAGCACTACATGTTATCTAACGAAAATTTATAATACAAGTAAAGTATGTTAGTAAGCCTAGTTACGTGTTTAATCTACATCTACAATTATGTAATGTGTGTGTATGTGTGCCATGGGGTTTGTTTTGAACATGTAGAATAAAATGGAATGAGTTTTAATATCAAAATCATTCGCAGCACGATTTAATTTTTTTTTGCTTCTTTGTCTTTTGCCTTGATTCTTTATGAAGCCCGGGATGTAAATGGGTAAGGTTGCTGAAGCTAAATTAAGGGGTTTATAGAGTGAATTGAGTTCAGAAACTCACAAGCTATAGAAATTTTTGAGAAAATCACATGCCAACCACTCAAAATCTCATTTTTACCTCGGGCTACAATCCCCCCATCTCCCACTTTCCCCATCACATAACGCCAAGTATGTGAGATGTATTAATTTGTAATATTACGAAAAAAAAAATCTACATATGCTGTGAATTCAAAGGAGCTACAAAACATCCCCAGCATGATGAGAGCAAAGAGTGTCAAGATCACATGTATGCTAGATGAATATGTGAACATACAAATATAGAAGCAGCATGTAAAGGAAAGTAAGGTACATACTTTTCATGTGTATGGAAAATGAATTTATAGAAAAATTTTCATGCTTAGTTAAAGATGCAAAAGGTTCATTTAACATCGCATGGAAGAATTGCTTAATGGGAACGATGACAATATTTAAGTGGATTTTTGTCCAAAGATTCGGAAAGGTAATGCAATGATCATCAAATTATCGCCATTCGTTTTTTACGATGTGAAAAATCTCATTAAATTTTTAATTGGTTTTTTTGCTTGTTCCACTTTGGTCATTATCCGATAATTGAGGGAATGAAATCGAACTTTTTATTGTTATCAGATGAGATTTAATGTTCAGTTTCTGATGGAACTAATTAAACGATTTTTTTATCTCTTCAGTTTAATTCAGGTTGTTTTTTAAATTTGTGGGAGTAATTTAAGGTTATGTTGAATTTTCCAACAAAACTTCACGTCTATTACAATTTTCTACAGCTATTTAAATTCATCAATTCTCCTCCCGCCATCGCCT